CTCGTCTCCATAAGATTTAAGTAAATTTCAATGTTAAAAAAAAAAATAAAAAAAATGCAAGGGATAAAAAAAAATTAACAAACAACAACCAAACCATCCATCATAGATTCATAACTATCCAATACCTCTAATATTAAAGTAGCAACAACTAGTCAAAACAACTTAAATAATGTAAAGTTGAAAAATAACTCATAATGCCAATTGTCAAAATATTAAGGTCATTAAAAAAAAAAAAACTACTATCAATCTTAAACTCAAGAAAACACAAGAAATCCGATAGACATGTCTTACAATTGTAGTTATTTCTCGTCACTACCGTAGTCCCAACTAATCCTGCAAAGGAAGCTTAGCTGAGCTCAAGCAGAACACACCCGAGATGCTAAGAGACAAAACGGGTCAGTATACAAGTATACTAGTACGAGTACAAGATTTTATACCCACGTGTTCACCAAACACAAATAAAAGTACACTTAATTCTTGTTACGGGACAAGACAAGTAGTTCCACCTGCACCGAGACGAAGGGGTAGTTTTCCGAAATACGATGGCATTTAGTTTCTTACCCGTACACAACTAAATATAAATTGAGTATAAAATAAACAAAATAAAAATATGGTGGGTCAGCCCCACATAAAAAGTTAGTAAGACCTACCATTCTGCAAAAAAATAAACTTAACATAATTTAATCATAAGTAACTTCTGAAGAAGTATAAAAATGCACCGTTTTATGCTTAAATAATTCGAATTGACCAAAACTCAAAGAACAAAAGTTGTACAGAATCAAATTTCCTAAAAGACAATGGAAATGAATTTAGTAGAAATTAAACAGATTGAGAGAAAAATTTGATAGAAGAACCTAGATGGAATTCAACCGAAAAATCTGAAGCTGAAAACGAAAAGAAACTGCCCTAGGATGATTTTTTTCGGAAAAGTTCAAAACACAAAAAGTGTTCAGAATAATGTTTTACTTTAGTTTATGCGAAACCAATAAAAATGAGCTCGTTTTGTGGATTAAAACAGCATGAGGTTGCTTATTATTTTTCAAGATGTACAAATCAATACAATTCAAACCAATAAGTTCATATTTAATTTTTTTGTATCTTAACTTCACCACTTCGGCCCTTCACTTTCAGCCCATACATATATTCCATGTGCCTCCCGTATGCCTAACACCGCTCTGAAGTCAAACTTACACGGGGATATCGTCTTGAGTTTGATTCACACTTCCCGAATGGTTAGCATATACGAATGCGCGTAAATCAAAGCACTCGTCTACTCTGAGAATGAGGCAACAACATATATATACATAACCCCTCATCTACTCATGAGAACAAACACAACAATGTTGAGCCTAAGGCATTCAACTAAATCTCATAATCCTCACTTTGTTTTTTTACACTTTTTCTCACTTTCTCATCGGCACTCAAATAAAACAACAATCCATGGAGTCATGGTGGAGTATTCAGAATTTATATATGGGTTCTTAGTTTATTTTAATTTTATATAACCACGAGTGTGATTACATCCATAAAATAAATATACATAAAAACTCTAAACTTTGCATACATATCTAGCCAAATAATGAAATCAATCAATCATCTTCATGCAAATACAAAATCAAACCAACATCGAATAAATAAAAATAAATAAATAAATAAAAATAACGAATTAAATATAAATCAAGGAAAGTGGGTTTTGCACTCACAATTATTTTTTGAAGATCTAAGAAAAATTTAAAGAATTAAGGAAGCCACCAAAACAAAACCCTAATCTATTTTTTTTTCTTCCTCCTCTCTTCTTTCTGCAGTTTCTCTATTCTCTCTCAATTTCTTTGATTTCTCTCTCTCTCTGCTTTCCCCCCCCTCTTTTCTCTACTTCTCTTGTCGTGGCTACTGCTGCTTTCAGTTGTAGGGTTCCTTTATATATATAACCAAAAAGGCTCTAAATTATTATCTTTTTATTTTATTTTATTTTTCTCTCTTTTTTTTGCCTCTTTATATTATAACCTAATCACTATTATATTATACAAATACACCATATATAAATATAAATATAACATTAAATATATATATATATATATAACACCTCTTATATATACATAAAAATATAAATATTCAAATTAATAAATTATAATTAAATATTACATTAAATTAATTAAATACTACATTAAATTCTCATGTATCCACACAATTAATAAAGCCAAAAAAATAAAGTAATAATAACAATAATAAATAATGACTTAAGAAAATTAGGGTCGCTACAGTATACCTACCTCAAAAGAACCTCGTCCTGAGACTTGATAGGAGAGAGTATTAAACAAAAAGCTCCGCGTGCATACGCCGAACTTTCTTTTCCAATTCCCAAGTGATATCATTCTCATCCTCACTCTATTGCACTTTCACCAAGTTCACTTTCTTACGCTGCAACTACTTTACATTCTGTTTTAGAATAGTATCGAGTCGCATTACATACGTTAGATGATCACTAGTCTCTAACACTTCTGGTGATACTACTTGGGAAAGGTCTTGCACACATTTTCGCAATAAAGATACATGGAACACATTGTGAATCATAGCTAAAGCATGTGGTATAGCTAATTTCTAAGTCACATTACCAATCCTCTCAGTGATCTCTTATGGTCCTACAAATCTAGGTGCTAGCTTTCCTTTCTTTCCGAACCGCATAATACCCTTCATCGGCGAGACCTTAAAAAATACAAAATCTCCAACATTCAACTCAACCCCCTTACGTTTTCTACCAGTGTAACTCTTCTGACGACTCTGTGTAGTCTTAATACGTTCTCGAATAATGTTCACCTTCTCTATGGTCTCTCTCACCAACTCTGGCCCTAACAACGGCACATCTCCTACCTCCATCCAACAAGCAGGTGATCGACATGGCCTCCCATACAAAGCCTCAAAAGGGGCCATCCCGTTACCTGAGTGATAGCTATTATTATAAGCAAACTCCACCAATGGCAAGTGTTCTTCCCAACTACCACCAAGATCGAGAACACAAGCTCTCAACATATCCTTCAAGATTTGATTTACCCATTCAATTTGCCCATCTGTCTGAGGATGATAAGTAGTGCTCAAGTCTAACCTAGCACCTAAAGCATGTTGAAAACTATCCTAAAACTCTGCCACAAACAACGGATCACAATCTAAAACTATAGAGACTGGTGCACCATGAAGTCGGACCACTTTCGAATATACAACCTAGCCAGTTTATCCGTAGTTCGGTGAACACTAATAGAAAGAAAATAAGCAGACTTGGTGAGTCGATCCACTATCACCCAAATAGATTCAATGTCTCGCTTAGACTGCAACAATCCATCCACGAAGTTCATAGAGATGTACTTCTATTTCCAAGTAAGAATCTCAAGAGGCTGCAAAAGTCTAAACGGTCGTTGGTGTTCTGCCTTAACCTGTTGACACACATAAACATCGAGAAACATACTCTCCTACGTTCTTCTTCATACCTTCCCACTAAAATGTCCTCTTCACGTCGTGATACATCTTAGTCCCACTAGGGTGAATGGTATATCGAAACCTATGGGTATCATCCATAATCTTCTTCCTCAATTCAACAATGTTCGGTACACACAACCTACCCCTGTGTCGCAATCTCCCATTTTAGTCCACTGACCAATCAGTAGGACAATCATCGATCAAATCCACTACAAGTTCATTAAGCTTGTTGACGAGGATCTTATCTAAATACTACATCTGACGAACTTTACCCAGTAACGTTGGCTGTAAGGTCAAACTACCAATGTATGCCCTCTCAACACTCTTTATTGGTTGAACATCATGCATCAGAACGAACTCCAAGGACTTCTATTCGTGAATCATCAAAGAAGCTATAATCCTATGCTGTCGACTAAATGCATCTGCGACCACATTTCCTTTTCTTGGGTGGTAAAGGATCTCGAAATCATAACTATTGACGAATTCAACCCACCTCTATTGCCTCATATTCAACTCTTTTTGAGAAAAAAAAAATATTTGAGGCTCTTGTGATCTGCATATAACTCAAAGTGCTCCCTAAACAAGTAGTGTCGCCACACTTTCAACGCAAAAACAATTGTTGCCAACACCAAGTCATGAGTAGGGTATCATCTCTCATGAGGTTTTAACTATTGAGAACCAAAAGATATAACCTTCTAATGCTGCATTAGCATTCATCCCAACCAAGTTCCACTTGCATCAATAAACACTACTAACTTTTCTTCTTATATTGGTATAGTTAACACTGGTGCTTTAGTCAAACGCTACTTTAACTCCTAGAAAGCTCTCTCACAATCATCTGTCCATAAGAACTTCACATTCTTGCGGGTCAACATGGTCATGGGTGCTGCAATAGTGGAAAACTTCTCTATAAATCTCATATAATTACCGGCTAGTCCTAAAAAACTCCTTACCTCTGAAGGGTTCGTAGGCTGCTTCCATTCTTTGACCGAAACCACTTTTTCAAGATCTACCGCTATTCCCTAATTGGATACAACATGTCCCAAAAACGGAAATTCTTTCTCCTAAAAGTGATGCTTACTGAACTTAGCGTATAACTGCTACTCCCTCAAAGTCTGCAACATGACTTTCAAGTGTTCTTTGTGCTCTTCCTCATTCTTAGAATACACCAGGATATCATCTATGAAGATAATCACAAACTTATCTAGATATGGTTGAAAAATTATGTTAATCAAGTCCATGAAATACGTAGGAGCATTGGTCAAACCGAAAAGCATTACAGGAAATTAGTACAACCCATACCAAGTCCGAAATGCAGTAAGCGGTATGCTTTCCTTTGACACACCCATCTAATGGTAACCCGTTTTGAGATCGAATTGAGAAAACACAATTGCTCCCTTCAACTGATCAAACAAGTCATCAATTCTAGGTAGCGGATACTTGTTCTTGATAGTCACCTTGTTCAGCTCTCTGTAATCTATGCACATGCGGAGAGTGACATTTTTCTTGGAGACAAAGATTGCGGGTGCTCCTCACGGGGAGTTACTTGAACGTATGAACCTTTTCTGAAGCATCTCTTCTAGCTGCTTCTTCATCTCCATAAGCTCTTTAGGCGCCATTCTATATGCCGCCTTAGAAATCGGTGCAATTCCCGGCACTAAGTCAATGTGAAATTCCACTACCCATCGAGGTGGAAGTCCAGGTATCTCCTGAAATACATCCTTAAACTCACGTACCACATCTACCTCACTAATATCCTGCTTAGGGATTTATACCGAGCACAGGAAACTCGTCATCACCAACTTTCCTCCATTGCTAGAAGTGTGGATAAGCCATGGCATATCGAGAATATCTATATTCACAGTCCTTCTAGCATAATCTAGAGTCACAAAGTGTTTTCGCAGTCAATCCATACCCAAAATAATTACAAACCCCTTAAATCCTAACACAATTAGGTCCGCATACAAGACTTTTCCCGCAAAGTCAATCTCAAAATCTTTACACATCTCATAAAGAGTAACTGCCCCTCCTAAAGGGGTCTCAACACGAATAAGTCTAGACAAGGAGGTAGTTACAAGATGTTCTCTTTCCACAAACTGTCTAGATATGAAAGAAAGAGAGGCACCCGTGTCAAAAAGTGCTCTGATGGGTTCTTGAAAAAAAATTAAAAGTACCTTGCAATTTGTCACTTCCTAGCATCACTACAAATGCCCTGGCTGGAGTTGTCGAACCCTGTCGTGTCGACTATTTCTGAGGGCAATCTTTAACTACATGTCCCAACTACTGTCATGACCCAAACTCGCCTCTATAGGTTTAGTGCCATAACTGACCAGTAATCTACAATTACCAAAGGCCTAACTGAACAAAGCAAACGAACGGGGCTAGTGCAAGCTAATACATAAGAAAGTAAAACGCCCAACGAGCTGTGAACTTACATGAGACAAAAGGCATTGCTATATATATATACATATATGTACATCAAGGCATCACAAGTTTGTGAAAACACAACCAAAAGAGGGAAGTACATGTAAACAAAGTGAAACTGTACATAACATAAGAACGACTACCCAAAAGGGTGATCACCAGCTACCCCAAAACCTTGACAGATGGGAACCTCGCGGTGAGGCACAACAGGTAGCTTAACAAAACTGAGGCAAAATCGTCGCCACTACGTCCCCTCTTGAACTAGATCACCTACAATATATATATATATATAAGCTACAAGCCCAGTGAATAACAGCTGTGTAAAGAGATTTTGAACGATGATCATAATGTAAGGCAAATCACAAACTGAATAAATTCTTATCTTATACAGAAAACATAAAAGTATACGTTGTACGTCCCATAGCAAGCTGATACAGGTGGTCTAGAAGACCGAACAGGCGGTCATAAAGACCAGTAGTTAGATATGATGGCCATCAACATAATAAACAGGAGTTCCAAGAATTGGAACTAAGAGAGATCTCTGTAATAATACGGGCAGGTGCTAAGGACGTCACAAAATAAAGTGTAGGAAAATAGGAACATCATTCATTAAGCATAAAAGAAACACGTCAGAACATAAAATAATATAAAGCAGAAAAGAGATATTTTAGATTTAAACATATCTTTACAATAGTGTTATTCACAAATTAGCGTCACGAATTATATGGTTGGGACGTGGCGTTCAACCTACACAAACAGATACAAGCATAGCACATTTAATCAATTACAACCAACTAACCGTTTTCATCGTTTAATGATTGGTTAATCTAATTATCCTTTATTCTTTTTAAATGTCTGTGATGCATATGATTGTCAAATATATACAGAAATCATGTCAATAGAGGCCTGAAAGACGGAGAAATGAAATAGAAAATTGAAACTGGGTCTGCCAATGTGCCGCACGTGCAGAGTCCCTTGGCCGCACGTGCGGGACTCTTACTGCACGTGCGCTAGATGATGCAGTTATTTCAGAATACAAGGTGTCTCTCCCCTGTTTTCCGCAGGTGCGGGCCTTCCCTCCTCACGTGCGGCCTTGCCTTCCGCACGTGCAGTTCCCCATGTCGCATGTGTGATTTTGGGTGTTCCATAACAGAAATTCTGCTCTGTTTTTGAACTTCAATCCTCCAAAAATAAAACCTAAATTTGAACAAATCAAGACATGATGAAAGAGTAAATTCTAAGTTCAAACCAACTTCATAAGTTCAAACAAACTCATTGGTATTGGAAAAGAAAAGATCAAAAATTTGAGTGTAACTTTCCTAATTCAACTCCATAAATTCCTTTCTCCAACTACCACAGATCAAGCAAAAGAAAGGAATTGAACATGATTGATGCTATGTATGTCATACATGAACATGAAATCTTGAATTTAGGGTTCTTGACATAACCTACACTACCCCAATTCCTAAACCAATGCAAATTCTCCCATCTCATATGTTAATTCCCAAGGTTAAGACAAGAATTCTTACCTTAGCTTATGGAATTGTGGAAGATTGACTCTAACCCTCTTGCTACTCTTCTGTTCCTTTTCTCATTCTTCTCTAAAACTCTAGAATTCTCTCTCTCTCTCTCTCTCTCTCTCTCTCTCTCTCTTCACTTGAATTCAAATATCTATATAATATATCTAAGCTTCTTTGGCTTAAATTATGATCACTTCCATTAATTTCTTACTATAACCCAAGTTACCTCAACCCCACTTTGTCTAATTAAGGTGTATTAGGCTCCAACCACTTAATCCATTATCTCATTTATATCCTAACAATTTAGTGAATCAGATAGGTCTTTTTCATACCTTAACATCTCTGTCAAGCAAAACATGATGCACATGACACATGGTACATACGTAGCACACAAATAAACGTAGAATGCACATATAAACATGTAATTAAAACAAACCATAGAATTAACAGTTAAGTAAAGAGGCAAGTGTTACAGTCTCTCCCCTTTAAGACGTTTGATCCTCCAAACTCAATTACCTTCTTCTGTAAAAGGTGTAGGATCTAATGGAAAATGTTCAGGGTATTTCCCTTGCATATCCGCTTCTCTTTCCCAAGTTACATACAAGCCACTATGGTTTTGCCAGTCTACCTTTACCAACGAGATTTCCTTATTCCTCAATTTCTTGATATGACGGCTAACAATCCGAATGGGTCGTTCCTCATACATATAGTCATCACTCACAATTATCTGAGTAGGTTCAATAACCTGCTGAGGATCTAGAAAGGATTCTCTTAACATGGAAACATGGAAAACATTATGCATGTGCCCTATATCCAAAGGTAGAACTACCCGATGCGCCACTGGATTAAGTTTCTCAATGATTTCATACGGTCCGATGCATCGAGGTGCTAACTTACCCTTGGCTCCAAAACAAGTGTGTCCTTTCATTGGCGTAACTTTGATAAAAATGCGGTTTCCTATCTCATCTTCTCTTTCTCGTCTACGTATATCAGCATAGCTTTTCTGTCGACTTTGTGCTATTTTCAACCGTTGTTGAATCAATTTCACTTTCTCAGTGGTTTTTTGCACAAGTTTAGGTCCCAATAGCGGTCTATCTCCAACCTCAGCCCAATAAATTAGTGACTGGCTTTTTTTGCAATATAGAGCCTCGTATGGTGCCATGCAAATGCTTGAATGGTAGCTGTTGTTGTATGCAAATTCAACCAAAGACAAATGTGTCTCCCAATTCCCCTGAAAATCCAGTACACACATACGTAACATATCTTCTAATGTCTGTATTGTCCTTTCTGACTGACCATCTGTCTGTCAATGATAGGCACTGCTTAACCTCAAGGTAGTTCCCAATGGCTTTTGTAGAATTTGCCAAAATCTTGAAGTGAACTTTGTGTCTCTATCAGACACAATCGACGCAAGCACTCCATGCAACGTCATAATTTCATTTATATATAGAGTAGCCAATTTATACACATTATATGTTGTTTTAACACGTAAGAAATGAGCAGATTTTGTCAATCGGTCAACAATTACCCAAATGGAATCCATACCTCTATTGGAGCGAGGCAATCCAACCACGAAATCTATTATAATATGTTCCTATTTCCACTCCGGTATTGGTAATGGCTGAAGTAAACCTGCGGGTCGTTAATGTTATACTTTAACTTGCTGACATTGCAAACATCTGGATACAAATTTCGCAATTTCTCTTTTCATTCCTGGCCACCAATTTTTTTTTTTTGGTCTTGATACATTTTTGTGTTCCCCGGATGGACGGAGAATTTGGAACTGTGAGCTTCTTAAAGAAATCATTTCTTTAAATCACCGTCGTTTGGTACACATAACCGTCCCTGAAATTTGAGTATGTCATTCTCAAAACTGAACCCCGGTCTAGGTTTGGAATCCCATTCATCCACTATTTTCTTTAGGAACTCATCTTGTAATTATTTTCCTTTGATCTCTTTCACCATTGCCGGTTCATGCAGTATTGTCTTCTGTTTGGTGAGCAAGCAAGCTAAGGTTGCCATTGATGTCTGACTGAGAGCATCGACCACCGTGCTATCTTTTCTCGGATGGTACAAAATTTGCAGATCATAATCTTTAATTAGCTCTAACCATTTACGCTGTCTCATGTTTAGCTCTTTTTGGGTAAAGAAGTATTTGAGACTTTTGTGATCTGTATACACCTCACATGTTGCCCCATACAGATAGTGGCGCCAAATGTTTAATGCAAAAATCACTGCAGTCAGTTCTAGATCATGGGTTGGGTAACTTTTCTCGTGCGGTCTTAACTGACAAGAAGTATAGGCAATTACCTGTCTGTTTTGCATCAATACGCATCCCAAGCCTTTATAAGAGGCATCGCTATAAATGGTAAAACCATTTGTGTCGGAAAATAAAGTGAGAATCGGTGCTGTCACAAGTCTTGTATTCAATTCTTGAAAAACTGCCTCTCTCTATTCAGTCCATTCAAATGGTACCCCCTTTTGGTCAACTGAGTATGTGGCAAGGCCATTTTTGAGAAGTCTTTCACAAGTCTGCGGTAATACCCAACCAAAACCAAGAAACTGCAGACCTCTATGACATTTGTCGGTCTAGGCCAATTCACGACTGCCTCTATCTTTTGTGGATCAACAGAAATGCCATCTTGCGTTATCATGTGTCCCAGAAACATCACACTATCCAGCCAAAATTCACATTTCGACAATTTCGCATATAATTTCTTCTCCCTTAATGTTTGAAGAGCAAGTCTCAAGTGATGTTCATGTTCCTTTTTGCTTTTGGAATAAATTAGAATGCCATCGATAAAAACAACAATGAACTCATCAAGGAATGACTTGAAGACTCTATTCATTAAATCCATAAAAGCAGCCGGTGCATTAGTAACCCCAAAAGGCATAACAAAGAATTCATAATGACCGTATCTTGTTCGAAAAGCAGTTTTCTCCACATTTTCAGCTTTAACTTGTAGTCGGTGATACCTAGATCATAAGTCAATTTTAGAAAATACATGTGCCCCTTGCAGTTGGTCAAATAGATCATCAATGCGTGGCAATAGGTACTTATTCTTTATTGTCACATTGTTTAACTCCCGATAATCAATGCAAAGCCTCAGGGTTCCATCATTTTTTTTAACAAATAACACTGGAGCGCCCCATAGAGACATACTAGGCCTAATAAATTTATTTTCTAGTGATTCTTGCAACTGAATTTTCAGCTCTTTTAGTTCAGCAATCGACATCCGGTATGGGGTTTTGGAGATTGGCTGTGTACCCGGTACTATTTCAATACTGAACTCAATTTCTTTATCAATTAAATTCCTAGGCAAATCATCAGGAAAAACATCTGGAAAATCTTTAACTACCGGAATGTAATCTATAGTAGGTTTAGCAATTGTTGGCACTGTTAGCACAGAACATAGAAATTCTTTACAGCCTTTAGTAATCAACTTGTTCGCTTTCATGGAAGAGATTAAATATGGGGGAGGTACAACACCAATGCCATGAAATGTAAATTCCGGTAATTCAGGTAAGTGAAACACAATTTATTTAGTCACACAGTCAATAGTAGCACAATACTTCGATAACCAGTCCATTCCCAAAATTACGTCAAAATGCATGATATTTAAAGGCAATAGATCAACATATAAAGTCATATCCCTAACATTAACATTACATGTAGGATACACATACACGCAAGTCATAGGCTCCCCAGTTGGAGAAGATACAGCTAACAAATGAGGCATTGGTTCTAATTTTTGAGTCAATTTTGAAGTAAAAGCACAGGACACAAAGGAGTGTGTGGATCCCGAGTCAATACACATGCATTCTGAGAACAACACACATGCATTCTGAGAACAAATAGGAAGAATACCTGACACAACCGTCTCTGTCGTCTGCACATCACCCGACACTAATGCAAAAACCTGTTCTTGCTTTAGAGTTTCCTTCCCCGTAGTTGCTTTCGAATTTACCCTTGGTGTTGACACTGATACAATTGAGCTAGCCCTGGGTTGGCTTGTGTTTTGGGACAGTAAAGGGCAATCCTTGGTCATATGACCTGTTTTTCCGCACCGAAAACATGCGCCAGAAATTCTGCGATAAACCCCTTTATGTCTTTTCCCACACTCTAGGCAGATAGGTGTATCATTCTCTTGACTTGAGCTAGTAGATGATCCTGTATTCTGTCTCTTGTTCAGTAGAGTGTTGAAGTTGTTCCGGCCCTTCTTGAAATTGGATCCTGGTCTCTTACCCTTCCATTCAATCATCCCTTCTATTCAATCATCGGTGCCTTTGCTTGTCTTAGTGTAGCAACATTCGCTTCTGCCATGATGGCTCTATCTAAGACATCAATATATTTTTCTAACTTGAGTACGTTAATTCGATCAAGAACCTCAACATCTAATCCGCCTTCAAACTTTTTAGCTTTCTTGTAATCGGTATCTACCATATGTGGCGCATTCCGCGTAAGCTCAGTAAATTTGGCTTCATACTCCGCCGTCGACATAGTGCCCTGCTTCAGCTGTTCAAATTCGGTTACTTTCCGATCCTTTACACACTATGAAAAATATTTTTCATAAAAGGCCTCTTTAAACTGTGCCCAAGCCATGGTAACCTGCTGATCATAAACAAGCATCTATGTCACGACCCAAACCCGGCCCTATAGGTTTAGCACCGTAACCGGCCAGTAATCCGAGATTACCGAAGGCCTACAGAACAGTAGTACAGTAAAACAGAGTACAGGGCCTAGCGGAAGCCAATACAGTAAATGAATAATGTCCATTGAGCTGTGTCAGTCTGTATGCCAAAAAGATTTTTCATGCATTCACATATACAAACAGTACAGTCTATACAAAATTTACAGTCACACAGTACAGGGACCTAATCCCTTGATAACAGTACAGTAAACATTCAGTCTAAACAAAACAGTAAGACAGTACAGAAGGGGGAATTGTAAAACACCCCTAAGCCTTAACACGATAGGCTCGGAACCTCGCAGTGAGGCACATAGGCTGGCTTGACAAAACTGGAGTCTAACCCACACTCCTAGCTCCGATCTGGTGGCTGAGCACCTACATATATATATAAACAGTGAGCTAAAGCCCAGTGAATAACATAATGCGTAAAGGGGTTATGAATGAAATGTCCTTACAGTAACGAAATCAGTTCATTAAACAATACTTCAGTCTTTCAGTCAGAACAGTTATTCAATCATATGTGGTACATCCATTAGCATAGCAGTAAACAGTAGGTCTTAAAGACCGAACAGTAATGATGGCCATCAATCAGTAAACAATAGTGGTTTCACGAGGGAACCGACAGAGATCTCTGTAACAGTAACAGTCATAGCAGTAGTTGCTAAGGATGCCACAATACAGTTCAGAATAGAGGACATACATTCATTCAATTAACAGTAACAGTTCGGAAAGCAGTACGGTTCAATTGTTCAGAAGATAATCATTTTGAACATATCTTTACACAGTTGTTACTCACAGAGTTTGGGCTACAGTATGCTAGAGCGCGCCTCCCCAGTCGCCGACCCTACACAGTTAACAGATTGAACACACACTAAGCTACACAGTTGGGAGATAACATAATTTAACCCCTAATGCCTCGGTGTGTTCTACAACTATCCTCAACAAGATGTCTTAAACTAGGCCTAAGAATGCCTAGAATGAAATGAGGATGCAAAGATGTGATCAGAAGACTGTTTCAAGATTTTCAGAAAAACAGAGTCCCGCTCGAGCGCAGGTTTCCCCGCTCGAGCGGTAATGCAACAAAGGTACACGCTCGAGCGTAAACTTTCCCGCTCGAGCGTACTGTAAAAGTACGGATGGGTGAAATCTCCGCTCGACGCCCGCTCGAGCGCCCAATCCTCCCTCGAGCGGCGTAAAAACAGTGCAGAGATACTGGATGCTCGGATTCCACGCTCGAGCGGCGATTCCCCCGCTCGAGCGGAAATGCAAAATCTGGAAATTCCATATTGCACCTCCAAGCCAAAAACCAAGTTCAAATGCATCAAAACCAATCCTCTTGGGCCCATTTTCTGGAAAACATTTATAAACACATAGAATAACATGTTTCAAAGCTCAATTTTAAGAAATCAAAGCCCAAGGGTGTTTAATTCAAACTCAATTTCAAACTAATTTCATGAACAATATGAACACG